TCCTACAATAAAGCTTGTTAATTTCTGGGCCTCATCTGTTAGGGTTACTTGATGGTAGGCGCAAGAGAGATCACTACTTGTGAAGTATGATCCATTTATTCGGGTCATGAGAACTTGTAGTGGTTCTAATGGCCAACTACAATTGCTAGTATCTGTGATTGAGTTTAGATACCTAGCATCCAAGACCAACTTAACGTAGTCTTTTTTTGGAAGAATGATGACTGGATTTACGAACCATGAGTTCATATCATCTTTTTCATTTAGTTCTCTGACTATGCCTGCTTGGATTAATTCATCCATTAACTTGTCCAATTTATCTCTTAGATGGACTGGGATTTTACTCAGTCGTTGTTTTTTGAACGTTGCGTCCTTTTTGAGTGGTATGTGGAATTTATGTTTTGTTTTTCCAATATCATATTTGTGATGAGAATAAACATCTTGATCCTCTATCAGCATTTGAATTAGATCTGCAAATTCATCATCCGATATATCACTTTGTGTGAAGTCGAAGTCAGATAAGAATTTAATAGTAGTTTCGATTTTTTCCAAAGTACTACTATTGTCCTTATCAATTGAGGAGTATTGGGTAAACGTTTCGTTGACTAGAAAGGCAATTAGCCGATCATTATGTTCTTTGTTTCGATACTTTTTAAATTGTTCTTTCAAGGGAGGCCTGCAAAGGTTCTTTGCATCATTGGAAAAGTCGGTTGCTATTTCGTTTTCATTTTTGCATACTTTGACTATATCTGAACCAATTTGTTCAAATATTTCTGATACGTTTTCTGTATCAAACACTTCAAGGGCAGGCATGTCCTTGATTTCTCGTCCTGAAACATAGACAAATATTGTAATTCCAGAATGTTGGAATACATCGACAATGATTTTGGAAACTTCTTCCCAATTCATTTTATCTAAGCCACAAGCAATTTTGGGCATTGCGATAGATCGAATGTTATTTGCTATAGCATGATCTTTCATTTCGGACAAGGTGTTGAATATAGCGTCGTAAGTGGGTTTCTGAAAGTACCTCTGTTTGGTAATCAGGTTATATACGATTTGTCCAGATTTTGGATCAGTGAAGATGAGAATATCATTAATGTTAGCATGTATTGAGTTACAAAAGTGTCGTAGCTCAGGATACCTTTTGCTAATTGATTCAGCAAACCCTTTTTTCATTGCTCTATCTGCAGAGATTGTATGGGCAATGGGCATATTCGATTCGAATATGGACCTTTTTTTGAAGTCTACATATTGTAGACAGGGGCCGGATAATTGGGTATTGCTTTCCTGTGTTGTATTGACAACAGTGTTTAGCATGAAACAGCTATCGAATTCCGAACTTTCGTTTAAATTTCTCGTTGTGAACTCATCACAATCGTGGATGGCAAATATTTTATCCTCGTATCCTTGAATATCAGTTACTGCATAGCCTAGTACACACTTGTTTAGTGTGACAGGATGATCTTTCTGATTCTCAATTAGGATAGGTAGGCTCTGCTCAATTTGAGTACAAACTGTATTAATGAAAACCAATTCGGTTTTGGTTGTATTTTTATGAGGCAGGAATGTAGTTCCTTTTTCGAAGTATGAATTTGGTTCGGCCAAGTGTTTGTATAAGTATGTAGAGCGTGCTGGAATGAACAAGGGTTCTTTCAAGTTACTTGAGACAATTTTTGAAACGTTGGGATATTCTTTATCGTTGTTCATCAACCCGTAGGATATAACACCTTCTTTCGATTTGAGCTCAACTGCGGGGATATCAAAGTAGAGAGCTTTTAAGAAGAGATGACAAAAGTCTACTCCTAATAGATTAGCAGTCTTTTCTTCAGTTATCCACACTTTATGGTTGGATGGGTATTTTCCATCAGTGTCGAAACAAGATTGGATAGATGTATGGCCAAACATACGTATATCAGATCCATTATAAGTCTTTGCTTTAATTTTGGATCGGTAAATTGTCATTTTTCGACCTAATTTTTCCAATTCCTGATAAGTTGGGTAGTTTATGATACTACAAGTTGATCCTGGGTCAATCATGAATTCAATTTCGAGTCCACTATTATTATTTTTGTCTCCGGTGGCAAAATGATATAAGCTAAGATATATCCTTGATTTAGGATTACTATCATCGCTCGGTTTCGGAGACTTTAATAGTTTAAAGGAAAGAAATCAGTGATCGCATCACAGTAATTGACTTCTTCCTCAACCCAGTGGGAGGTTTCAGACTGTATTTGATTCGGTCTAAAATTTGGTGATTGAGATCGTGTCGAGTCTCGACTATTATTGCTATTATAGTTTCCAGTGTTATATGGTCGACCTCTAGGGTTACTATTGAATTGTCTATTTTCTTGGTCGTAGAACTGTTTAGCAAATTGTTCATTTTCTCTGAATTTGTTCTCTCTGGGATACCTATCATCATAGGTTTGGGGCCTTTTGGTATTGAAAGACGATTGTGCATTAGCCTTTTGGAAATTGTTTCCATTGTAGTTATAATTATGGCGAATGCCATAGTTATTTTGGCTAGGATTTGAATTGTTAGTATTTCTGTTTTGGTTATCCCAAAACCGGTTGCTTGGGTTAGTGTTACTCTGGTTAGGGAAGTTATTCGGTCTTCGATTTCGTTTATAATCAGTTTCAAATGAAACTCTTCGTTCATTTTTTGTTGTGAGTTCTTTTCGCAACTTATTTACTTCGTCCTGAACTTGTTTTTTTGAACATCTAGATATAGAATGTCCATTCATTCTGCAATATTCGTAGAATCGTGTACTATTAGGTCTTCCCTTGATGTCAGGGTGACGTCGTTGAAATGAAGTTTGGTCATTGATTGCACTAACTTCTTGATTCTTGATCAATTTAGTTAGTTCTTTAATTTGAGTTTCTAATGAAGTCATTTTATCCGTTGTTGACTTATTAGCAGGATCAATAGCAACAATGAATGTTAGATCCTTAGTGATTACATGATTTGTGAATTGATCCCAGTTGGCATTTGGATGCTCTATCATGTATTCATGAGCTTTTTGTTTAAGGGCTAGAGGTCTTAGTCCCTTAATTGAGAAATCAATATACTTTTGACTTCTTTGTCTGTTTTGTATAGTTCTCTCAGCATTTTGAGCAGCTTCAGTAGCATGAACGGTTTCATCAATACTTTCGGGCCATCCTCTATCTACAGAAGAATTAATTCTGTGGAAGTAATTTTTTATTAATTCGCCATCTTGGCGAGCTGCATTTTCAGCATCAATTCTATGTTTGAATTGATCTCGTCCGTCAGTGAATCTGTTTAGGAAGAGATCTTTGAGTTGTGCCCATGTGGTAGCATTGGTTACATTATCATTGAACCATTCAAGAGATGTATCAGTTAACAATGATCCGAATAGGGATCGTTGTCTGCTATCATAGCTACGTCGCGCATCATTATCAGCAGGTCTTTGACCTAATGAGAAAAGAATTTTGTTTTCAACTGAAATCCAAAAAGCTGTAGCATTTTGGTTCGGATCGTTTCCCGAAAATGTCATTAAAGACAAATTGGGATGGGATATTGGGGTAACAGCCATTTTATATTTAGTTTAGAACTTAAAAAGAGAGATAGAAAAATTTATAAATTTATTTAGAAAACTTAAATTTCCGATTTGGAAATTTATTACTTCTCTTTATTTGTAAGAGAAATTTCAACAATTCTCCAGTTTGAGAATTGAAATCTTTGCTTTTTATCTCTTTTTGAGACTTTAGCAATTTTAGCGAATTTTTAGAAGGTAAGCCTCACTGGTCGCACCAATTTATTACGCTAGCAAAACTATATACGTCGGACAAAACGCTTGCTAGGAATAAAGGGTCCTTTCTACTTTCTATCTTAGAAAGTAAATCTAAAATTCACTGAGAAATATTTTATTAGAAAAGAAGTTAGTATGAATTTACAGCAAGTTGCCTTTTGACTCAATATTTATTTTTTACGGTGAGATTGGAGATATTTTCTCTGAGATTGAATATTATTTTAGAGAAGGGTTGGGGTGGTTGAGGAGAGTGGTGGTGGTGGTAGAAGAGAAGTTGTTGGAATGAATTCTCGTAGTTTTGAGCTTCTATTTATACTCAAATGGGGAAATCACGCCACTTTTCGTATCAAATGAGAAGTTTCTTTTAACTTCGTATTCTTTATTCGTACATTCGTATTTTACGAGAAGAAGGTTTCGTATGCTCGTACTTTACGAGAGGAATCGTTATTATTCGTATTGAATGAGAATAGTCGTTTCAATTCTCAATGCTTAAAACGTTATACGAATTATTCCAATAGCATTTCCCTTCCTTTTGCAAGGGAATTAAAACATATTTCTTTGGTGGTGGCGGTGGCGTCACATTTTGTGAACGCAATAAAATAATTCATGTTTCTGTTTCTATTTGAAATCAGAACAATAACTAGACGTTTTAGAATGGCTTGAAAACTAGATTACTTTTAGCATTAAAACCGTGAAGCAGTGATATGCATTGGGCTCTGTTTTCGCACCCTAACCCGACCCGACAGTCGTTTGTCAAACCCGACCCGACCCGAACTTTACTTTTAGAACAAAAGAAGCTAAATTTGGCTGATGCCATCCATAAGGAACGCGTAATTTAGACTTTTATTGCTGCTAAAAAAGCATGGTCAATAAAGGTTAAACCCGACCCGACCCAATACGCGAAATTCCGTACTCTACTCGAACCCCCTAGAACAATTTACACCCCTCGGAATATGTTCTAAAGCCGCCCCTGTTCCATATGACCACTCTATATTTTGTTGTTTTTACGCTGTTACATGTACCGACTAAGCCAGTGCCAGCCTATGATGAACAAACATTTCTCTAATATCCAGTTTTTCAATAATATTTTGTTACCACTATTTACTTAATAGGTGAAGAATTCGAATACGTCTGAGCAAAGTATTGTTCAGTTAACTTATGCGCCTATTAAGTCGTTTTATCTTTCATATTTGGAACAACTGGATAAAAAACAAATAGAAACATGTGTTTTAGTCCGGCTTTCTGAAAACCCTCTTGAAATATTCTCAGTCCAAATCAACCGCCGAATATTTCTACATCGACTGTTATGTCCACCCCCAGCATGGCGGCACAGTCAGCCCCGATTACCTGAAAAACGTGTTCGGCCAGCCGATTCGCGACTCGGACCATTTCGTGGCGGTCATGTCTCCGTGGGACAACCCGGTACCACTCTCCAGAATCTGGTGCATCTACGAGTTTCACACTGCTATAACTCACAAGAAGCCATTCGAGGTCGTCTTCACGGCTGAAGAAGACGAGTCGTGGGCGGAAAACATTACTGACACCGACCTCATTGTCAGCAAATACTCAGAAATTGACAGCAGAAACGCAGAGGCCTCAAAACCAGCAGACAAGGCCAATATCCTGCAACTTATCGAGGAAGGCGTGGGAACAAAAAAGTTGAACGCTGAAATTATGCAAAAAGTGCGAGATCTGCTGGTGGACAAATGCATGGCATACTTGGCTAAAGAACCGAGGTCGAGAGTCTTCCGATTGGTGTGTGACTTTTCACCATCGAAGACCCTGCTCGAGCAGATTTTGGTGCATAAACAGCGGGTTCTGGATGAGGCCGGTGACGACGACGACGTTGCTCATTCCCATGTGGGTATGTATCATTCTGTTCTTGAATTATTCTGTACCGTAGTGATTGATTGCCAAGCGGTTAGTGCTTACGACTGTTTTGTTTTTCTGGAAGGTTTCTCAGCTTTTCTCACAAAAAAAACATCTAAATTTTGCTGGTCGAACTCCCCTCTTTAACCATCTAAAGGACTACGAATGTTTTTTGCACATTAAAAAAAATCTTAGCAATAAAACACTAAATAACATATTTGAATTCCCCTTGAAATCGTATTCCATCATGGGGTTTAGGGAGTTGGGATTCGACCCCTCCACCAAAATTTGTGGCCTTTCCCAGACTTGCCAAAGCTTTCGTAATATAATGCTTTTGAATATGTATCGCAGAAAATTTTGAGAAAAACTCAAACAACACTTTTTGCGATAAACATTTCAATTGCAATCAGGGTTCGAATTAAGCCGTATCGCAACGCAATTTGCGAATCGATATCGGGGATTTGCGAATCACTTTCTGATTTTGATTCGCAATTCTGCGAATCAAAAGCAGTCATCGACACCGAATTTTCAGTTCAGTTCGAGAAAAAGCACCATGGCTTATTACTGTTTCTGCAAATGTTTCTGTAAAATTCAACGGCTCAAAAATGTTGCGATACAACTTTGGAGATTGCGAATCAATATGCAACCTTGATTCGCAATTATGCGATACAAAAATTTCAGAGTATTTCGAACCCTGATTGCAATACTGAAAACAATTTATACAGAGGCACGAAGTTTTACGCTTTTAACGTTCTCAGGGAAAACGTTCTCAGATAACGTATCAAATGCTTACGTACAGTACATTCATGGCCAGAATTTTTTTAATGGTGGCAATGAATTTCAGACGCCAACACCTGTGTTGTAGACGCTTAGGAGGCCAAGCGAAATATAAGCGCAAGCGACACTTTAACATTGTTTTTTATTACAACTACTTCGAGCTGAAATTCAGCTGCTGAATGACCAAAGGCACATGGCTTATTTCAAAATACGCCCACGTTATAAATTTTTCAAATAAGCGAAGTCGCGCGTAAGCGCTTTAAGGATAAGCGACGAAGCGATAAGCGGAGGCTAAAAAAGCGCAGATAGCGATAAGCGTAAACAACTTGAGCAAGTACAACACTGGCCAACAGTGACCTCGTTGAAAAAACTGTTACCAGAATTTAATAAAAAGTAAAACTTTCGTTGTTCTAACGTTCGGGTTAGTTATTCTGTTTTTGAACTTTCAACACACATGACCATGCATATAAGTAACTAATAAGGCGTATAACGGCGATGGAAGCGTTGAAAACACGCTTTGAGTCTCGTTGGAAGTACAAAAAATAGGTTCAAACGCGGTTCAAAATATATATTTTTTCGGAATTGACTTTTTGACGAAGTGTACTGGTGGTAAAACGAATGGGTCCGTGGGTATCTTGAATTAATTAGAACTAGACAGACATTTCATAAACAACGTAAGATGTCGCCAGTCTATCGCAACTCTTCCTTGTAGTCCAAAGCCCTGAATTTGAGTAAAATGAAAAATCAGAATAGTTCACTTCTAAAAATAAAGTGGTTTCCGAAGGCTGGCCTACGAGTCGTGCGAAATACGTTTTCGAAACGTGAAAACAACCATCGAACAAAAGTATAAGAGGTTCAAAATGTTGGTCATTTTTTCGGGTTTTGTGGATCTTTGAAGGCTAGAATAGTGTGTTTGTTTTCGAAATGTCTGAAGTTTACGAACGTCCCTCGGTAAGTCGGACACAAATTTCTGTTCAAACTTTGTCCACCTGTGGGCTATAAGCAGGGCATGGCAAAAACATATTGGTATTGCAAAATATTGGTACAAAACAGTGCAATGAATTGCAATATTTTCGATTTAAAGAGAGCTGGTCTTGACATGTGCCTTTATGGAAACCAGCTTCATCAGCCCGACATCGAATATCCCGGAACGGTTTTTCAGTACGGCTGGATAAACTTACAAGGATTATAGGAAGAGCCTACTAGTAGTACTACCTACTAACTTGGAACTTCAGTTGTATTACATGTAGAACTACAACACAAAATTTTGGGATGTCGATACAATAAAAACACTTGTTCACTAAACTTTTTTTGAAAACCATCTGCAGAAATATTGCATGTTGTTGTATTGCAGAAATCATTCAAGGGGCAGTATTTTATTGCACGACGAAAGTTCAACTTTCAACAACGATAAGTTATTGCAATAGAATATAAACATGATTGTGCCGTACCCTGGATATAAGCACACAAAGTGCCACTGGCTTACGCCATTTCTAACTTGTGTGTCAACCTAGCCAATGTTTGACACGACAGGAAACAGTTTTTTTGGAAAGGGATCTTGTTCTTTTTTGAAAATGCAGCAGTTGACTTTTCACACATTAGTAATTGGTTCGATTGCGCATAACACCGAGACGTGCTTGGCTGTTTTGTTAATAATTTTAGAAGACTTATTTTGGTCAAGAAAAGTTTATAAAAGTTAAAAGATTAGCATGTCACTTTTCGACATTCGAAAACTCTCAAAAGTCAGTGGATGAGTATTTTTGAACAAACTGTGGGTTTTCGATCACTTGACTTTAATACTTGTAACGGGCTTCAATAACGGTTAGAATGACGTCCCGGGTTGACCTCCATACACCGAAAATGCTTATCATACAATTCCATACATCAAGTGTGTGGGAAAATGCTTGTCATACAATTTTCAGACAATTTCTAAAAATGGTTGAAAACTGGTATTAACTCATTTCTGTGGCTGTTTGATTCTAATAAAACAATCTGGTGATAAAAAACTGAGGTTTTCGTTTTTTGAAAAAAATGCTTATCATACAATTCCCCTATATGGAAATTGTATGACTGGCATTTTTTTGGTGGCGACACAAAAAAATTTTCGAGTAGTTTTGAAAATTTAGCCCAAAATTTTTTTTTCAACCGCAAATCGATTTTCGTACGCAAACAAACATTTTTCGAAAAAAATTTTTGCATGCAAAATTTAATATTTTGTGTGCATAACGTAGTCCTGGATACGATAAAATTGGCTTAATTTTTTCTTTTCACTTAATTTTTTTTTTCAAAAACGCTGAAAATTCCTCTTTCTTTTGTATGGGGTGTTAATGTACGCCTTGATCAATGTGTGATAATTTGAAAATTCGAAAATTTAATATAATCATCATTAAAAAATTTTGCCAAAAATTAAAAGTTTGTTACTTTTGTTATATCAATTGTGAAAGACAGCCAATTACAGGTCGTTTTCTAAGCATTGTAAATGCCAGACCGTCCAACCTTTGGTGTTTTGAGTAACCAAGGTCTTTGTCACTAGTGTTCGGTTGCAACTACAACCGAAAATTTTTCAGAAACTAAATTTAGAAAGAAAAAATCAAAATTTTTTGTTTATGGGAAAACATATATCATACAATTTTCATATATGGAAAAATGCTTACCATAGAGTTTTCATACAATTTTCTGTACGTATGGAATTGTATGAAATTGTATGACAAGACGTATCTCATATATGGAAATTGTATGATAAGAAGTTTTGGTCAACCCGGGGTTGTTGGTTAGCGCGCGCTGATCACTTAGCAACAATTTGTACAAAAATTTACAGCCCATTTCGAAATTTATTGGCCAGGCACTTTTAGACGAAATGCGTTATCTTCTGAGTGGATTGACTTACTTCCCGTTGATTTTAAATGGTTTGAAATGAATTATTTGTAATTTATAGTATGGGGTACTTTAAGCAATAAATTAAAAAAAATTAGCTTAAATTCAATTTTAATTATGAATATAAAGGTACACTGGTGATATATAGTGATATTTAGGTCAGAAAGTTCATTAGAAAAGGAAAATGGTAAAAATTAGAATTTTAAAAAGAACCATCAAATTTGGAATCTACTAATATGGCAGTTTTTGGTCAGGCGACACTGGAATGGTTCTTCTGAAACCCCAAATGGTCCAGAATTGATATTTCATGCTTTGGGAGGGTTGTATAAACACCCCTAGACCAACAAAAATAATCGATTTTTTTGGAACGATTTCCACTTTCTGTTATTCTCCCCCTGACTCTGTACAACAGTCGTATAAACTCATTTATGAAATTTCTCATCACGAAAATATAATGGTACATGTTACATGTACGGACATTGATTTGCTTGCTCGCGTTGAACAAAAAGTGTAGTTGTTTGAGCTGTTAGCAACAACTTCGTAGTTTATTTACAAACAATGACTAAAGTGTTAATGTCATATTTCTTGCTTCAGCCAGCGTGTGTCAACAGCTTGAGACGAGGAGTGACGCTCTGCATCATTACCAGCGGTATGCAGAAATACGGACCAGCAAGTTCGGTGAAAAACACGAGTCATTGGCCATCCCTTACAACAACATGGCCAACACGCACTCTGCAATGGGCAATCACAAAGAGGCTCTCCGTCTGTACACGCTGAGTCTTGACATCAGACTAGAGGCGCTGGGGGAGCGGCATCCGCAAATGGCCGCCTCTTACAACAACATGGGCAGCACGCACAATGATATGGGCAATCACAAATAGGCTCTCCGTCTGCACGCGCTGAGTCTTGACATCAGACTAGAGACGATGGGGGAGCGACATCCGGATGTGGCCGCCTCTTACTACAACATGGCCACTACGCACTCTGCAATGGGCAATCACAAAGAGGCTCTCCGTCTGCACGCGCTGAGTCTTGACATCAGACTAGAGACGATGGGGGAGCGACATCCGGATGTGGCCGCCTCTTACTACAACATGGCCACTACGCACTCTGCAATGGGCAATCACAAAGAGGCTCTCCGTCTGTACACGCTGAGTCTTGACATCAGACTAGAGACGCTGGGGCAGCGGCATCCGAATGTTGCCGCCTATTACAACAACCTGGCAAACCCGCACAGAGAATTGGGCAATCACAAAGAGGCTCTCCGTCTGTACACGCTGAGTTTTAACATCAGACTAGAGACACTGGGGGAGCGGCATCCGGATGTGGCCGCCTCTTACAACAACATGGCAAACACGCACCATGAAATGGGCAATTACAAAGAGGCTCTCAGTCTGCATACGCTGAGTCTTGACATTAAACTAGAGACACTGGGGCAGCGGCATCCGGATGTGGCCGCCTCTTACAACAACATGGCCAACACGCACAATGATATGGGCAATCACAAAGAAGCTCTCCGTCTGTACAAGCTGAGTCTTGACATCAGACTAGAGACGCTGGGGGAGCGGCATCCGGATGTGGCCGCCTCTTACAACAACATGGGCAGCACGCACAATGATATGGGCAATCACAAAGAGGCTCTCCGTCTGTACACGCTGAGTCTTGACATCAGACTAGAGACGCTGGGGGAGCGGCATCCGGATGTGGCCGCCTCTTACAACAACATGGGCAGCACGCACAATGATATGGGCAATCACAAAGAGGCTCTCCGTCTGTACACGCTGAGTCTTAACATCAGACTAGAGA